CAATCAAAAGTAGGCTAACAATGAGAACTTATGAGCAAGAATTCTGCCCCTGGAGCTCCAGCAGGGTGTAATGTAAGACAAACTAAAGGAAAAATAATAAAATAATAGACAGGAGTGAGACCATGTTATCACTATAGTCCCTGGAATATACTGTCCTGGAACTAAGAGACAGGAGTGAGATATCTTCATACCAGCCATTGCAAATGGGTTGGAGCTGGGAACTCAGGTGCAGAGATCTCTCCACTGTGACCAAGAAGAGACTGTAACTGTAACCAATGGAGAACTCAGAGGTAGCAGTGAGGAACCTTCATAGCAGCATTGGCAAATGGACCGGATGGGAACTCACGTACAGAGATCTCACCATTGGGAGTCCCAGGAAGATACTCCAATTTGGAGTATCTTCCTGGGACTCCCAATGGTGAGATCTCTGTACTTGAGTTCCCCGCCGGTCTACTTGCCATGACTGTTATGAAGGTGCCTCGCTGCTACCTCCTGAGTTCTCCTTTCATTACCATTGGAGTCTCCAATGGTAATGAAAGGAAAACTCAGGAGGTAGCAGTGGGGCACCTTCACAAAAGCCATGGCAAGTGAGCGGAGCTGGAAACCCAGATGCAGAGATCTTAGTGTTGGAAACCCAGGAAGTTATTGTAATTTAAGATAGAGGAGATTCCTTGATAGAAATCCCTTTGTTACCGTCACAGCAATTTGGAAGAGCTGGTGACTCCGGGTAATAAATGTAATGATTGCATTCTCAAGCAGACATAAGAATCTAATGTTTGATTTGACCTACTGACATTGCCCCAAAGAAAAAATAAACCGTATTGGATGGACTGACACTTTAATTACGAGGAGAGGCCAATAAGTGCTTACCCTCATCATGATCTAGATGTGCTAGGGATCTGACATTCTGCAGGTTTATAGGTGGATATCTTAGTAATACGCATGCCAATTTTTGTTTTTGTAGGTCGTGGTGAATTATAGCTAGAGCCAAGAGAAATGGAGTTGGTGTCATGCCGGACAAAGTTGAATACCGAGTAGTGATGAGGTTCCTCCATCTTCAAGGGAAATCTGCCCAAATAATCCATGAAGAGATGTCAGCTGTGTATGGAGAGGATTGTCCTTCATATGAGACTGTCAAACGATGGAAGAGAGAATTCAAGTGTGGTCACACAAATATACAGGATGACCCAAGGTAAGGTTGTCGTCAACTGCCATAGAACCAAGTGTGGTGGCGAAAGTTAAGCTCGGTATTCAACTTTAAGCTCGGTATTCATGCCTTTGTACGGCATGACACCTACTCCATTTCTCTTGTCTCGAACTATTATTCACCACGGCCTACAAAAATTGGCATGCATATTACTAAGATGTCCACCTATAAACCTGCGAAATTTCAGATCCCTAACCCATCTAGATCACGGCGAACTTATCGGCCTCCCCTCGTAGCTTATCGCCACTTATTACAGCCAGCCCATTATTTGCAATATGAAACGGGTTGGAGTCCATGTCATACTGGAACATGCATCCCATGTGACACTTTCATACGCTATCGCTCTGGATATTTTTCTGCTTTTTTTAAAGTTTTAAAAAAAAAATCACAAACATTCTTTATGTTTTTTTTTTTTTTTTGGCAAAAGAATAACAGACATCGGCAGCCAAGATTTGCGCTGGAGTTCCTTAAATGGCTATAGATGCAAAACGAGTCAGCGCTCTTTTGCGGATTACAGTCAAGGTAAACTTAAAAAAAAAAAAATACATTGCCGCTTTCATAAACGTCTGAAGCCAAGCAGTAAAAAAAATCCGGCCTTAATTAACCCTAAATCCATCAGAAGACACAACACAGTTCTCCGAAAACGACATCTTCCCAAACCGGTGCCAGCATACCCAACAATAAAATGTAAGAAAAATGTAACGGTAGTAGAGTATAGATTGGAGTTCTCTCATCGTATGGTGAGGAGATACTAAGTTAAGATCTTCTACTTCTTGAAGGACGCTTTTTTTTTCTTTTCTATCTATTAAAAACAAAAGTAAAAACAAAAAATACCCTAACCGCTATGCACCGCGTCGTTAAATATATATATAGTTTTGTTCAAGTTGTACCCCATGACTTGCTGACAGGACTCGCAACACTGTTGGCCCTGCTCCACTTCCATTCTCGCCATGCTGCGACCTACGTGTGGTCAACTAAGCTTAGACTCCGAAACGGAGTCGATTTGTTGCCGGTTGTTTCGGCACCAACCTGCAGAGAGAATCCAACTCGGCAAGGACTCTCAGCCCATACTGAATGTTCCTTTTAAAAAAAAAATTCTTGCTCGTCAACGGGCCGGAGCTGGTTACTAGTTGAAGTTACAGCAGTTCAAATAGCTGATGCTCTTTCCCTCTCCCGGCAAAGAAGAGTCCACGTTGTTGACCAACGGATTTTGCCGGGCCTCGCTGATCAAGCGGCACGCTAAGTCCAGGAACAGTTTTTCCACATTGTCCGACTCTTTGGCAGAGGTTTCCAGGTAAAACATGTTTTGGGAGCCTGCGAACTCTTCAGCTCTCTGCTGGGAGACTTCTCTTCTCTCGGCCAGGTCTATTTTGTTCCCTGTAATGATAGCAAAGAGAAGCGCGTGTTAGAGAGACGGCGGGGAGCTGGCTGAACAGAGGCTGCTGTGTGGGTGGCAGAATGTGGGCACTCAAGGACAAATGTCTTATCATTGACGTAAGCGGAAACCAATGTGTTTTTGAGTAGGCGCATGTAGACAAGTTTACCGATGTTAATGGAAACCGTGTAGACTTCCATTGTTCACCTTCTTTTCATTCATTCTTTATCTGAAGAGAACATTTCCCACACGTACATCAGAAGGGAAAGCGAGTATTCATAAAATAAAACAGACATTTTCTATTATAGATAAAGTGCAACTGAAGTCACAGTTCATTTTGGACACAGCAAGTGAGAGTTATAATTCCTATCAGCTATTTTTGCCCTCTGTGTCCCATTGGGGAGATTTCCCTTCATTTCCTGTCCAATAGTCACACCAGGAAGTGAAAGAAAATCTTTTCAAAGAAAAGGAAATTCTTTGAGGTCAGAACAGTAATCAGAACTAGATTTCCCATCTATTCCTGTTCTGGGAGGGAGGGAAAAAACTTCCAATGTGGATGCTTGTTAATGTGACAACTGTCCTCTACTTTGGAGAGATCTCTTCTCTCTTTCTGCTGTGCCCGGAAGAAAGAAAGTGAAGAGAACATTTCCCAAACAGGAAGAAAAAACAAAAATTTGACTTTACCCAAAACAAAGCCAAAAAGTTTTGCCTTTACCTGTACTATAAACAGGATACACTGGAAAAAGGTGCTCCACCCCCAAGGATCTTGACTAATATCCTGGATAAATGTGAGTCCACCCCAAGGATCTTGACTTATATACTGGATAAATGTGAGTCCACCCCAAGGATCTTGACTTATATACTGGATAAATGTGAGTCCACCCCAAGGATCTTGACTTATATACTGGATAAATGTGAGTCCACCCCAAGGAT